TGAAGTTTCATCATTTCTATCTTTACACTGATGTCGTAATATACTATCGATTAAAAATTTTTTATTTCTTTTTAAATACTGAATATATCTTCCCAACTTGTTATCTCTTCGTGAACACGTAGTCTAATTGAATTAATCTTACTTAAGTACTTATCCCTGATTTATAGATTTTTTTCTCCATTTTTAACCCCCTTCTTTTATTTAACCAATTTTAATCCCCCTTGAGTAGATTATTGTATTATTTTGCAATTTAAAATTGATTAATTCCGTAAAATATAACAAATTTATTCATTTAATAACATTTCACATAAATTTAAATTGAAATGTTAATATTTATGATTTTATATAGAAACGTTCATATAATAAAGTATTATTTATTCAACCATTGTATCATATTTACCATGGGTCTCCTTTGTTTAGTGAAATTCTTGGATACGGGCCTGCGCATTAGACGGTTTATGCCATTTTTATACTGCGGTATATTAAAATTGTGTTTTCAGAATATTGTGTTATAGGGAAAATTGTATGCCAATCCTTGCTGCACATTTTATATGGTTTATCCAATTTATACACTACTGTATTGTATTAAATTCAACGCTTACGTATTACCATGTTATATAACAATATATGATTATATTTTACAATATTTTATGACGTACGTAGTTAAAAAATATCGCTTCATAAATGTGTTTATTTTACTACAAATGTTTATAATCAAAATAATACAATGTACATTTTTTTTTCAATGTGCTAACTTAAAAATAAATATATGTCAGATTTTGTAATAGTAATATTGCATATACTGTAAGTTAACTTAGTAGAAGCATAGTTTGTTTATAGTCATGACTATACCACTGGTTCCTAGAATTACCTACCTCGTCCTCGTTACACTCCACATAATCGATAAGATTATACAAGTAACAGTACTTATTGAAGTTGTCGATAGAAAACCATTTCCCTCAAGTTGAAACTTCATCACGAATATAGGTACATATAAGCTCGTGAACTACGAAATTCTTCGTCAACGATGACTACAATCTTATGGGAAATTGAAGGAAAGTAGGGAAACGAGAATAAATGAATGAGCAAACTGAGAATAAAATGGAATATGTGTTTGTGTGTGTGTGTGTGTAGCACGTTATGCCAAACGAGACCGGAAATTAAAAGAAGAAAAATATCGGTCAGCCTGTAGCAACTTCAATGTATCTACTTTTCCTTTAACCTACTAGTCTTTAAATTCCCCTTTCTCTCTATTAACTATTTTCTAATAAAGAGAACAATATAAAATGATAGAAAGAAAACTTATTTCTATCGATTAGATCAGCGCCGCCTGTCCAACAACTTCTTTCAGTACACGGCCAATATTTTCTCTTGCAAATATTTCTAAATGAATAACTAAATTAAATATTAAATCAAATTTGAAAAATAAATCCGTTGTTAGTAAAAAATTTACCTTTGATTGGATCAAAACCTAGTAGAAAATAGTAAGAGAAAGAGAATTCAATGTGGTGTGTGGGAAAGAACGATAATAATTAATAGTTAATAATTATAAATAATTAATTTAAAATTGTTAAAATATTGAAAGGAATAATATTCTTACCAGGGATTAATCGAAAATCACGTGTTTTCAATAAGACGGTTTAACTGTAACTGTCTCTCTCTCTCTCCCTCTCTCTCGAGTGTTTACATCTCGGAGAAAAAAGTAAACACATATATAAATACGGATAAACATGTGTATGTAATTCGATGTTGAAAAGATAAATAAGTAATTGTTTAAGAAATTATTTAAATTTTTTTCCACACGTCGATTCGACTGTGATCATTATTTTTTCAAACATTCTTTTTTATCGTGAAAAATCTTTTCTATTGTTTTCGTTCGAAAGTTTTTATATAATATCTTTATAAAGAGTAATTATGATAATTAAATTTGACATGAATACGGTTTAGCTGAATTATTAGCATATGCTAATTAATCTCATTTCATTTAATATGCAATGTTGTGCATTAGGGAGCAAACAAACTCTGTACGACTACTAGATTACTTTGCCGCCATTGTGTATAATATAATATATGAATTGTTTCACCCTAACTGCCTCATTTTAATTACATACTTTGAAACTTTATTTGTAATATTACCAATTTATAAAATAATGTTTTAAATAAAAGTTGTATGCTTTCGAAAACAAGTTACTCGATATATTGAAGTGTAATAATCATTAGCTTCTCATTAATTATAACTATGAAATCAATAAATAATAATGAAATATCTATTTCATTAAAATGAACCTATTAGTATACTAATAAGATATATTATTCTAATTATATTGCACTATTTATTTGTTACATTAAAAAAAAAAAAGGTAAAGATTCGTTGGTCTTTTAAGAATCTGACTTTAGTGTACATACTTATACATTTGAAAGATCTTTTTATGATAATAGAGTATGTACATCAGGGTATATAATTTTTTCTTCCTTGAGGTTATATATATATACATATATATTATAAAATTGAATGTTACTTTCTCCGATGATTGTTGCGAAATTCGCACGAATATAATATATATAATATAATACAATTCACACAATTCTCGGAGAATATTCTCAGTACGACGTTGGTCGTGGTTTGTGTGTTCCATTCTTCGGTACTTTTTCAGTGAAAAAGAATCTAATGCATTATAAAATTAGAAAGGAGACGAAAAAAGGAAAAAAAAGAGAAAAAGAAGAAGGATATTCGTATAAGGTGATTCATATACTCGCAGAGTATATGAATCATTTTTAAATGATGCATGAAAAATATCTAAAGTTGCATGATTTCAAGAGAGTTCAATGATGGTTGAAGTTTCAACAATGTCGACTGTTGATATAAACTCGAAACAGAATTTATTTTGAAATAAAATGTTACTTTTAAATTTAACGATTGAAAAGATATTAAAACGATGAGTTGTAACGTGTTCTAAGTGAAGTAGTTTGTTAATAATATTTATGAACACACACAAGTGGAAGAGAGTCCATTGAAATCACGTAACTTTTAGCATTTAACAATTTTTTTTTTTCATCAGATGCACAATTTCAAAATTATTCGTAGTGTGGAAGTTAGGTGAATTGGTCAATATATAAAACAAAAACGTTATACGATGTTGAAAAGGTTGCCAACGCGGGATTTAACGTAGCACGCGTTTCGATGTTTCAGCGAAAAAATTTGTATTCCGCATTGCTGACAAATTCAACAAATTTGACGAACTACTCTCTCCTCTCCGATATTATCCTCGGTAGATTTTTGTATAGGCTAAACCTGATGCTTTTAGAGCGAGCCAAAAGTTAGTTAGTCATTTTTCAAATGAATTAGGTCGAGTTACGTAGAAAGCCAACGCCAATTTTCGCTAGCGTCAAAAATTTTGGGATGAGTACAAAAGTATTGTTTGAATATATTAATGGATTTAAAAAAAATGAATCTTTTGATCTACTCTATTCTTGTATTTTATCTAAATGCACCGTTTAAACGTAGAGACATAAGAGAACGCAAGAGAACACAATAAAATGAACTGTTCGAGCGTTGAATGAACGAGCATAGAACATGGCGAAATGTCATTCGCTAGCACGTAACTCTTCCGGACCTTTCGACAAAGCAACGACTGACGTTCATTGTCGAACTTATCGAACTGATAACGCTTAACACAACGAAAAAGTGTCCTTTCCTATTTCGTGCAAAACAGTAACTGAAGTTGATACTTATTATTCTTCTTTCATTTTCTTATATTCTTATTCTTATTTTGTTTCAATAATCTCGATAATATTTTGTCCTCAATGATCTAATTTACTCGGTCACGCTATTCTTCAATTTCCTTTCTAACGTTTCTTTTTTATAATTTCATATTATTGTTTTTCTTTTGCAAATGTATCGATCAAATGACAAAAATAAATGACATAATCGACGTATTTAATTCTAGATTCACATGACAATTACATTGGCAACGTGTGAATTTAGAAATTTCATTCACAATATTCATTTCTGTACTCGCGATCATGGATCATATATTCTAGTTACAAGTTAGTTAGTTGGGATTTAATCTAAAAGTTGAACAATTAGTCGTGAGAAATTCGTTCTACGTTCCATAACTTATCTCTTAACTTCCGAATTAATTTCGACGAGCCGAGACTGCCATTAGTTTTAGTTATATACATGTATGCATACATACATAAATGCATATACATATACAATGGCTATTCAAAGTATAGAGTAACTCATTTTTATCACGGAAATACAATATTTTTGTGAGAAGGGTTTTTAGACAAAAGTTATTTCATTTTAAACAGGATTATATTAAACTATTTATTAATTTTTATTTAATTAAACGTTTTAAGATCAGCAAACAAATGTTTATATGTATATATATATAACATTATATAAAAATTGTTCTATATTTTTGTTTCAGGGTTGCGTCAGGGTTGTGTCAGAGTTACCATCGGACGCTCCTTACCAAGAGATCAAAATCAGCTGGTATGTCAAATAATCAGCTGGTTGACTCCTGTCTGTAAGTGTATATAGTATCCCAAATTCGATTATTTTTTTCAAGCAAATTTTACCGTTTCTTTTTTTTAAACAATCGAATTTTTCACCTATGCACACATTCTCAACTATAGTGTATACAATACTATATATTACAATTTTAAAACCGCTTGAATTAAAAATCTCCTTTTCATTGAACAAAATAACATTTTAGTATCGTAATTAATATCATTATCACATCATATTAGCACTTAATTTGTCGCTTTAACCAACCACATGATATTTCATTAAGTATATAACATTTATTCTATTTCCAGTTACGCCAAATATAATTAACACTCATGTTCATTAGCAATATTATAATCATATATTATTAATCATTAGCTCGTCGTTAATATATTTCAATGGTGGAACATAAAAGAAAGGATAAATATGATAAGTAATATAATTATTCATGAAGATGTTAAATAAATAATACAATGAAACATTTGTATATATTTTTCCTCGGAAATGTTTAATCCACCATTGAACATATTCTTTGCTGACTAACATCATTCCTTCTAGCAATTAATTTCATTACAATTTTTCAACCTATCTAATTGAACTTTCATACACATACATTACTTTTCATTCTTTCATTTGGACAGATGAAATTCATAAATATATTGCATAGATCATCTAAACACAATGCTGTTTATCATCAATAAAAAGAAAATGTTCAAATGAATGATAAAATTATGTTTAACTTATTAGGATGATTTTGTCCAATTTGATTACATCATTCAATGAAAATTACAATCAAAGAGAAAATTGTCAATATTAGATAAATATATATCTATTATTATAAAATACAAATTATTGATGATAATGGTAATTCTGTTAATTATTCATGTTAGGCTGGTGAATCGCAGGATTGAGCAGAGACAGGAGCACAACATAACGCGCACTGAGATAACGCAGAGGTGACTAATCGCACTTTATTAGAAGTTGATTCTTTTGAACTAACGTGTGTATGTGTATACATGTATCTGTATGTGTACACTTGCGTGTACACCGAGATCACGTAATCGATCAATTTAGTTTCTTATCTTTTTATATTTATTGTTTATTCAAAATAACACAGCTGACAATTGAGGAAATATTTTTGTAAATATAATGCAATTATTTATTCCTGGCTTATATCTTTCTTAGGGATTTTAATGACACACTATATATATATATATATATGTACAAAGTGTTCCAAAAGTCGCTTTACCGAGCTGAAAAAAAAAAAAGGAAATTTTGTCATGACAAATATTTGGAATGACGGAAATATATTTTTGAAACATTACTTTAATTGAAGATTTATATTTTAAAATAAAAAAAAAAAACAAAATATTGTAATTCTATTCATTAATCAATATCAATATTTTGTTTTATTTTTATTTGTTTTATTTCCTTGGTAAAACAAATTTTGGAACATTTTTCCGTGTACAATTTAACCATGAAATTTATGAGATTGAAACTTTATTTTATAATTTTGTCTTTTTATTTGAATATTTAATAATTTGTTTGTTTTTCTTTCTTAATTGATTGTGTTGGACATCATGCATACATCGTATACACATTTATTATAGAATAATTATTATAAATATATATATGAACACATCGTACAGACATTATTTTCAAAAGGAACAACTTCGGCGCACTAACAACATTTATTCGTTCATTTAGCATGCATCATTTAGCAGAGTGCTGACGAAATGAGATGAGTAGTTAGACTAATTAGTGATACTCCTTCAATGTTTCCTCCTTCCTCTTATGAATATGATAAACGGTATAACACGTTTCAACGAATCCTTTATTTCTCGTTTAAAAAAGAAAAAAAAATTAAATGAAAATCCTTGTAGGTTATAAATTTAGAAAATTTACTCACCGCTTTATTTTATTTATTTTTTTTTAAATTGACGTAGATATTGTGCATAACAATTAACCCTTTATAATTACAATTAATCTTCTAAACTTTTTCCATAGTTGGTATCAAAATAATACTACAAATGTTTCATATTATACAATATCTTTGATTTTATAGAGGGTTAATATAAAATTATTTAATATATATATATATATATATATATATATATATATATATATATGAACCTTTTGTGTAGTTGCTCGATTAGTGTATAGCAAATGTTCTAAACTATTATATCAACTTTGCTTATTTAAAAGAAAATATTTAAACAGAATTTGATAGTACGCATTAAGTGATAAGTATATATTTGTTAAGAAACAATATCATAATTTTCTTCTATACAATAATTATATTAATAAATATATGTACTTTGTACTTTGTTCTTGTTTTTATTTATTTTTTTATTTTTAGACGAGTACTTCAGGATAAAGGTTCCGACATGCCACAGTATACGTAAGTATCTAAATATTTATATATCTGTAATTTGAATTTGTACCTTATGTTCCAATGTTATATATATAATATCGTTCGTTGGTTGGTTCGTTCGATTTTCAGCGGACAGAGTGACGCGGACTATCATGGAAGTAACGGACAAGCGGATACACATTCGTTACACTCATCTCATCTGTCTGTCCAAGAGGATCCATTGCTCATCCGAACTCATAAACAACAGACTTCGCAGCAAGTAAGGTTTTGACGTTGTCGATTCGTTCGCCAAATATATATTAGTTTAGTTTTCAAAATTTTGCCCTCTTTTTTTTTCTTTTTTTTTCTTTTTTTTTCTTTTTTTCTTTTTTTTTATACCCTTCAAAAAGTACGCACTTAATAACAAATTTTTTATGTCAATGACATTTTTATTGATAATATCTTCATCGAAATAGATATCGCAGCAAAATTTCGACATTACTCTCTTTCACGTTATATTCGTACAATTGAATATTAATCTGGGCTTCCTAAAATTCCTTCCTACTTTTTTTTTCCCCTCTTTTTTTCTTTTTTAATATCTAAAAATCAATATATTTTTTTCGATAATATCTTCATTTAAAACAGAATTCCGTAGCAACGAAATTACTTTATTCTCGTGCTCGATTCATTTTATTTTAAATATTATATTTGAACACGAAAATTCATTGGTTTTGTTTTTTCTTTCTTTTTTGATACATAGTAGATAATAATATTTTTATGTAAATATATCATTTTATTGAAAATATCTGCACCATCATAATAACAGATTTCGCAGCAAGTAAGATTTCAATTTTTATTTTTGTTCAATTCATTAGTATTATTTAATAGTATTGAATTCCTTTGTTCTTTTTTTTATACATACAATTACGTAGTTTATATTTTATAATAGAAATAAAATTATTGTTATTATTATCCACATTCTTTAATTAACGAGTTGTTGGTAATTATTTGGATAAATGTTTAATATAAAAGAGAACTCTCTCTCTCTCTCTCTCTCTCTATTTTAATTAATTACAAATTGTAATTAAAATTAATCTACTTTTTTATTTACTCTCTCTTACTCTTTTATAAATTCAAAGTTAATATAATAACTACGTATAATATAATTTTTGATTAATACGAATGGATGAGAAAAATTCTGTTATAGTTATCTTCATGTTACATTTGGTACATTTTGTATTTTTTAATTGTTATTGATTGAAGTTTGGATCATTTGGATAATTTTACAAGTCAACTTAATAGTAAATAGTTAAAGTATTTATTTTAGCAGTAAATAACGATTAATCATTCTTTTAATTTTGTATTTTGTTTATCATTTTAGGTAACGACCGTGACGAAAGTAGTGCGCGAAGTTTCACACATGGAACCAGATCCAGGTGCAGTCAGTTACATGTCGGTGCCATTGATGTCGCAAGACTATCAACATGCTGATCCGAGATATCCGGCGGATCCATACATGGTCAGTTTTGACCATTACGATCCATACCTTGGGTATCCTCCGCAACCTGGTTACCCAGGTCCTCATGGAATTTACATGCCACGATCGCATTCACCACACAGCCCGCATAGTCCGTCAGAACACAGTCGTGCATCACCACCGCATGGTACATAATCGATTTCTCACCTACTTTCATAGAAATTAAACTTACTATTACCAATACGGTAATTCATTCTGCATTAAAACTAATCACTTTCTCTAGTAGACTTTCTAATATTTTTGATATTTCGTTTATCAGTATCAAACGTGTAAATAATCCTTACTTCATTTAGAAATATTATAGAACTTAATGTGCAGTCATATAGTGTCAAAATGTACAAAATGTTAGATGCACAAATTTGATTATTTATCATTATATGTTTTATGCAAACAGAATATTTGCGTAAAGCAGCACCGTTCGTCGAAGGTGGTTACAACGACATTGACCCAGGTCTTAATCCGGCTTTACAAGATCATTATCGCATTACTCCAAGTCCAGGCGGTCCCGGAGATCAATATGGTATAACGATCAATTTATATTTATGCATAGATTATTTTTTACATTTTTTTATTCATATTATGAAAGTATAAATGCTTTATTTATTTATTTATTTATTTTTTTTTCATTTCAAATTTTTTTTTTCATTTCTAGAAATATGAACAATTTTGTTATATAAATACTCATGTGTGTATATACAAAATATAATAATATTTGTCGATAATTATGATTATATTATATTTTGTGTTTATTTCATTCAACGAATAACATCATCGAAAAACTTGAACGCTTTCACCGTTTAAAACACACGGCTTAATTCACTGTCTTATCTGTTCATTTCATCTGTTCATTTCACTTTTAGATCAGATCAGCAACTCGTGGAATATGGATGACTCCGGCGAGCCCTCACAACATCCTCATGGTAGGGCTACATTATATTTATTATTTTATTTTACTGTCATCTTGCATATCCATGCGCTTTTATTGACTTATTATTTATTATTATTTTATATTAATCGCACAATCACGTGTGTATCATTCATTTTCATGCATATTTGTGTTGAGTAAGCAAATATTTTGTCGCATTACTTCATAGTTTCTTAACTTCCTTTTCCCTGTCCCCCAGAATTCCTTTCCTCCCTCCCTCCCTCCCTCCCTCCTAGCCTACATTCGGACTCGTATATCAAGTTCTGATTTAAAACGATAAAGATAATGCAAGTGAATTATGCTTTTCGTAGCAACAACAGCAACACCACAAACAACTGCAGCAACAATATCAGCAGCAGGAGCAGCAGCTTCGTGTTTGATGTTTTTCTTGATTTATTTAGTATTTTTCTTAACAAGAAATGACTACATTTCGCGTGTCTAACGTATTAACGTGTTATAATTTCAGATGAAAATAAAGTGACCTATGGTTACGTATCTCCGTCCCCATATGGGCCAGTAGGATACGGTCCTGCCGTTGGGGTAGGTCCAGTGGCAGTTCCTAACGATGTACCCGGTTACGACGAAGGTCATCCGATCCCATTATCGTCTGGTGTACCACCAGGGATATTTGAGGATGAGGTACACCTTCAACGGTTACAATCCGGTCATCCGGTGGTACCGGGTATGGCATCGCCCTTGGACGATGATCAAAAATCAATGAGATGGAGGGATCCTAACTTATCGGAAGTTATCAGTTTTCTTAGCAGTCCAAATAACATTATCAAAGCTAATGCAGCTGCCTACTTGCAACATCTTTGTTATATGGACGATCCAAATAAACAAAAAACACGTAGTCTAGGCGGCATACCACCCTTAGTGCAATTATTGGATCATGACGATCCCGATATCTATAGAAACGCATGCGGGGCGTTACGAAACTTGTCTTATGGGAGACAAAACGACGAGAACAAACGTGCGATAAAGAACGCTGGCGGTGTACCCGCTCTAATTCATTTGTTGCGTATGACGCTTGATGCCGACATCAAGGAGCTTGTAACCGGAGTACTGTGGAATTTGTCTTCTTGCGAAGTAAGTAACCTTTATTTTCATTCATATTGTAAACGTGATTATCATCCAACAAAATTCTATTCGAATTACGAACTCTGATTGAACATAGTATATCTTGATTTTATTCTTACTTGTAATAGTTCTATATCAATGTCATATAACTCCCAGTAAGAGACCGATAATTTGCATAATATGACACAGTATCAGATGTTACCCTTTACTCTGCGGTAAAGTGCACACTCGCTTGTCAACTATCCCATATAACTAACAGTAGCTTATTGGTGGTTAATTTTCTTGTAATAAAAACGTTCAAATTGGTTCATCTTAAGATGGTCACTGAGATATCACATCGACATCATTTCTCGATAGTATAATATTTACTGGTCAGAATTCTTTTAATTGGATTTTCTCCTGTTTGTAATTATGTACCAAGAATTCATTACATAAAATTTAAAATAACAATGTTTTTAAAGAAAGTACATTAGCTACGTAGTAGTCTTTAGTAGTTTTGTATGGCTTCAATTAAAATATTATTGTCGATAATTAAGAAACGTCCACGATCTTCCCTCATTTTCAAGACTTTCTTTTTTCATTATGAAAGTTGCTCAATCACGATTCATCTGTTAAGCAGTTTTTACAACTTTTCGTTCTAATTTCAATTCATAAAATTAACGTGCAATTTAATCCTTCCAATACGGCTTTGTTTTTCGTCACTGTGCTTGTCACTATACTGTATAATACCTGTCAATACCATTTTATCGACGAAATCTCATAGAAATTAAATTGTGTCGTGTAATATTCGTAAAGTATTGTTGGAAAGTTATTAAAAAATTCTTTAAAAAATAATCGTCGGTTGTATCGAAAGCGTTAATGGCATTGCTCCTTTTTTATGTGCTTTGTATTGTCAAGCACTCACGTATTAATATTCGTGAATGTCGATTGTGCGCAATTACGATTGCACAGTTATGAATTTGTTACGTTCGCACCAAAGAAGATCAACAAAAAAGCATATTTTTTTTGTACAAATATAAAATGTATTTAACTGAAAATTTCGTGTCACGTTCACGCTCAATATTGCTGTCAGCGGTGGCTTTGAGTGAACGATTGACTTCTTTTTATGACTAATATTTTGACTACCATTTAAAAACTTTTAAATCCATTTGTAAACATTTTGTTACTGTAAAACAATGTTCCCCTACTGTGGTTAAAATCTTTGATAAATTTCGACACTGATACGTCTTCAGACCACAAAGCACGGATTACTAATCTCGTTACTCTTCTTTAATGTTAATGTAATGTGGTGTGGTCATTGTAAATGTCACGATAAATAGAATGTAACCAAGCTAACAAGTTTGAAACTTTAAAATTGTGATAACACCCATACTAATATAAATACGGTCATCCACGAATACTAATACGTGAAAATTGAATGATGCAATGTAGGGCAACTGTACCTAATATGGAACTTTCAGTAATATTTAAACAAGTAACCAATGTAAACTATGCTTATTTATTTGTAATATATATTTAAAGGATTTAAAACGATCGATCATCGACGACGGAGTGACGATGGTAGTGAAGAACATAATAATACCTCATAGCGGCTGGGATCCAAGTTCTTCAAACGGGGAGACATGTTGGTCAACAGTATTTCGTAATGCATCGGGTGTTTTAAGAAACGTCTCTAGTGCTGGAGAATACGCGAGAAAAAAATTAAGGGAATGTGACGGACTGGTGGATGCTCTCTTATATGTAGTTCGTTCCGCGATTGAAAAGTCGAACATTGGGAATAAGATAGTGGAAAATTGCGTCTGCATCTTAAGAAATTTAAGTTATCGGTGTCAAGAAGTTGAGGACCCCAATTACGACAAACATCCGATACAGTCGGCGGTGCAGAACAGAGTTGCGGCACCAGTGAAAGGTGAGAACCAATCTTATGTTTCTTTTTTTTTCTTCATACTTTTCTCTCAAGAAAGAACAAAATTATATATTTTTTTGTTTCCTTTATGTCCATTTATTATTCTATTCGTGGACATTTTTTCACAATTGACATGCAACAGAAACGCATGGTATTTGTACATTTAAACTATGCAATTCATTTATTTCTTACTATTCAATTATTAACATTATTGTAGAAAAAAAGGTGAGATTTAGTGATTCAGTATAATTAAAAATGATATTTACATTAGTGTAGAAACTAGTAATAATAGTTACGAGTATAACAATTACAACGATAAACCATGTCTTTTAACAAATATTACAGTTTTGCTAGAGTATCGCTATAGTAAATTTGTATGAAGAATATTTGTCTTATTAAAAACGTAAGTTTACAAGATATCGGGAAGGTTTAAGATTGATTTTTGCTTTAAAAAGGAAGAAGAGAAACGTTTTTTGGATTTAATACATTTTAAGATTAGCGTATGTTGATAGGGTAGGCTTTTTTTTATGGGATTAGAAAACCAACAGAGTAATGACACAGAAGGATACTTTTTTTTTTTTTACATGATTACTCGTTACACAGCCATCACGTGACAGAGATTTTAAATTATTATTATTGTTATTATTATATAATTTATTTATTTATTTTTTTGTTGCGTATAAAAATAATAATTAATATTATCGAGATTAAAATAAAATTATGGAACGATATACTTTTCGACTTTGGCATGAATTAAAATCTATTTAAACTTTTTTTTTTTTAGCGTACAGTTTATGCCAAGGTAAGAAGACATTACTGTAATTTCAAATAGTTAAATTAGAATAATTACATAATTAATTATTTATTAATTTATTTTTTTTTTTAAATATGCATCGTTATATAAATGCATGCAACGCTTAGTGAAATTATAAAACATTTATTCTCTCATGGCTCTTTATTACGAGCTCTTATAATATTTCAAAAGAAGACATATCTGTATCATATGTTATTATCGTTATCATTATTATCATTATTATTATTATTATTGTGTTATTATTATTATTATTATTTTATTTATATATATTTTTCAAATTATTAAACACATCTGCAATCGACAAACATTACACTGTTAATTTATTCGTTTGACTGTAATAAATATAATAATATATTAAAATCAATGAATAACCGGCAAATTATCAATTGTTTCTGAATATGATATTTTGGTTTTCACGTTAACAACATCAATTGAATTATCAAAGTATATTCTACTTGAAATAATGATTGTAATTATAAAAATACATAATGTTTTACGTATATTGTTAATAATGATAGAAATAACTCAATGAATAAATTCACATTAAATTATAATGATACGAATCTAGGCACTTTTAGCACAGCCTGCATTTTTATGTATATTTACAATTTATTTGTAATGTTTATGYYAMWAAWKTMATSRMAATTKWT